TGATTTCACGTCGTGGTCATTTAATAACAAGTAAATACTGAAATATACTAGTAATCAATCTTTTTTTCTAGTCGGTGTTAAGAAGGAATATTCGCTGGACGGTTCGTCAAGTATTGAAGATCTGCCTGATATTTTTGATAAATATTATTGTGACCATGGAGCTAGCTCCATGATTGTGACCCACCACTGTTACACAACACACACATTAATTAATTGCCTTCTTTATACAGACGATATTGTGATTCTTTCAAAATCGAAGAAAGGATTATAAAACTGTCTGGATAAACTATCTGCCTACACATCTATCGCTGGCTTACTCTGACATGTTTTAGGTTTGTGTTAGTTTATAGCATTTAAATGTCTAGAAATGATACTTATTCTTGCTTGATTTTGTTCTTTTTTGTTTTATACTTATTATCAAATTACTGTCTTTCTTAATTGATTTACTTGATTAAGCATTGTAATGTTACTTAGAAGTTATGTGCATTTCAACATGTTTTACTAGTGTGTTTACCTCAACTTAACATTGAACTCTATGGCAAAGAAACACACTTACTGTTAATGTATGCCATTTCTAATTGATGATTACATTATTGGTCAGTTATCTTTCAGCCAATCATTGTCTTAGTACAGGATTAGGAAAGTTTATCTTTTGGATTACTGACCATGCCTTAAATAACCCCCTTTTAGCACCTTGTGTTAGACTGGACCCATGCAAGTGTCAGTATACTATGCTTATTGCTGTCCCTGTAACTCTGTTCTTAGCTAGTTATAAACTCTGTGTAGTACTGTTCCAGTAATAAAGATATCCTGCTGTGAGTATCTCAAATGGTTAATTTGTATCCAGTTCCTTATTACTTTATGGTTGTGAAATATGATCTCACAAATCAGTGTTGACTACAACGATCCCCCCACAACATCAAAATGGCAGTTGTCAGTCAACACATATAAAACGAAAATAATGATAACTTTATTACACTACTAAAAAAATAATGATATTCAATAAGTAACAGTAACAGACTTCTTAACAAGGAAATATTTTTATGAAAGAAGAGAACTCAATATAATTAGAAAAAAAATTAATCATCTTGGCTTAATTATGAGTTCAAATAGTAAATTTAATAATGCCATGACAAACCTAAAAAGAAAAGGAATAAAAGCTTTATTTTTATTAGCAACCAGAATTGGATCTGGCAATCTGGACATGTCCATACTACTGTCACTATTTGATAAACTTATCAGACCAGTTATTGTGTAAGGGAGTGACTTGGCGAGCAGTAATATCTACAAAATCGATTGTAGAGGCTTACATACTATGGGTACATTCCTGGTATTTCAAAAAATACACAAATCATGGCAATATATAGTGAATTGGGAAAATTACCTCTTGACTCTTTTATTAAGAAACAAATGCTAAAATGTGCCAATCGTATTTCAAACTCCACAAATAATCTACTACGGGAAGCATACTATAAAATTATTAAAAGTAAATGGTTTAAAAAGCTTGATTCAATATTAAAAAATATAAACCAATCTTATCTGTTAAATGAAACGAATATTTTCTCATTATCAAAATTAAAAACAATTGATGGAGAAGTTAAAAAAAGAGTTTACAACAGAGAGAAAAATTAAATAAATAATGACAACAGGAAAAAAAAATATAAAATTATTTTAAAATCTGCATGTCGTCCTCTGCAGTATGTTAGTAAAAATTACTTCGTTTGTTTGACATGGGCACAGACATGCTTCGGTATGCATCCACCATTACGATACACAATATATAAACACGCACATTTCTCAAACTTCACAACTTACTTTAAAAAAAAAATGATTCTGAATACGAATTTACAAAATCACTGCAAAATGGTGATGAATGATGTCCACAGCCCACATGACGCAGCCAAGATACGGTTGCTAAGATACAGTTGTGAAACTGAGTCAGCTGTGTACACACCAATACATTGGATAATTGTGGTCAGATTGTGTAAATCAACAAAATTTTTCACACTAATTCTAATAAGGAATAATGTAAATGGTGAGCGAATGATTTTCTCTTGAGACAATATAATGGTTGGCTGATTAATAACGGCAATTTGGATATAACAAGGAAGATAAACTTATTTTTATATAGATCATTGTGTGCGGTTGGAAGTTGCTCTCTTATATATGTATGTTTTTCTATGTACTAGTACTTTCCTAACATAGCTTTATTTTACACTTTTTTTACTTTACTGTATCCACAGCAGATTACAGTTGCGTAATAAACTATTATTATTATTATTATTAATTTTAAGAAATGTTTTACCTAAACACATGACTGCAAATAATTTGTTGTCTTTCGACAAAGTTCTTTTGATGCGTTGTCGAAAAGTAAAAGTAAATTTTTTATCATTTGTCTCTTGATGAATATACTAGTATTTAATAGTACTAGTAATCTGCCGAGTTCTCCCCAAATGTCCATTTTTTGAGCATTTCTTAAGACGCCAAGTATAAACTGACATTAAAGCGCGGTAGTCGTCGCGCTGCGCATGTGCGAGTTATATAGGTCTCATATAAACAAAGATGGCGACTTTGACTGTTGCGCAGATCAACGAGTACGAACTGAGACATTTCCAAGCTTTAATTAGGCAATTTTCATGTGAGTGGAAGGTGTCGAAGGAGTCACCGTCGGTAATCAGTGCAAGTCGCGCCTAGGTCAAACCTCATACTTGTGATTTCCATTTGAAGAACGCATTGGATTGTGGGAAAATCAATGTTTATCAACACAAATGTCGCACATGCGCAGCGCGACGACTACCGCGCTTTAACTTAGGTGCGTTCTCGACGACATATTTGTAATCAATTTCATTTCCCCTAGATATTGCTCAGTGCACTTTAAAGTAATATTGGTCGAATCAGCTTATCGATTAGTGATAAAAACAGTGATTGAACAATATTTTGACATGCTACCCGCATTGGTCGTGAACATACAATGTTGAGTCAAGCACTTTACTGGTGCTGAATGGCCTGGTCACACATGACGCCGTGTCTGATTTCAACAGGTGACCCCTGCCCTCGCATCATGCGGGCTAGATTATATTATTCAGTTCAGTTTCGTAACAGAATCATGATTATATAGTACTGGGTATCCACAGCTGGCGCCATCACTGTGACCTTTAGAGCGTTAAAGTAAACTGTTGTCTTCTTTCACAACATAATTGTAAAATTTCGGGCAGAAAATATTGCCTTTTCATAGTTAGGTGACAGATTAGAACTATGAAGAATAATTGTAGTTTTTAGTTGTGTTGGGAAAGGCTTTTGTATATAATTATTATAGTAGACTTAGTCATTCCATAGAAACTACTAATGTTTTACATAATAGCCAGGCAGGTTTTCGTAAAGATCACCGCACTACAGACCATTTTTTTTTTGAAAGCTATTAAAATAAACACATTAAATTAAATCGAAAACTGTATACCTGCTATATTGACTTTCAAATATCCTAGTGTTCGATATTGTTTAAAGAAATGGCCTTTTCCATAAATTACCGAAGAGTAGTACCAATGGGATAGTCTATAGAATTATTACACACATACATACTACCTATTATACGTCTGGCACCAATAGAACAGAATTCATCTGTCCGTAAAACACCAAAATGTCACCAATATTTGACAACACAACAGAGGTCCGACAAAGATGTGCCATTATGTTATTTAATCTATACTTAAGCACTTGCATAATTCATTAGATAATACTACAAGAGTTCCAGTTCAGTTATAATTGCCATATAAAATAGATTTACTAATCTAAGCAGATGATCCTGTATCAATCCCTACAACAAAAACATGTATACAGAATGCATTAAAACATTCTGCAAAAACGAAAGCTACAAGTACATATGCCCAAAACTATAATTATTCTATTGGCAATGAAATCCATGCACTTTTAGACTGTAACCATACTGATAATGATTCAAACTGTTACAGATCTTGTTTTTTTCGTGGTATACACGGCTTCCGCCATTTATACAATCACATAATAATTTATTGAAAAAAAACACCAAAAAACAAACGGTCAATGTCATGTATTTTTAAGGTATATGGCCTAATCATAGATCTAAAAGTGGTTTGTATTTTCATAGTCTAAAGTTACCTATTGTGCAGGTATGAATACCAAAAGTATTGACCTTTCGACTCGGTGATAAATTTGGTGACGCATTCAATGGAACCAATGCACTGACCACACCCCGTGATGCCCGTGACTATATGTCTATTATACACGTGATAACACGCACAATATTGTCGATTCAGGGGATTTCCAAACAATTAATCTTTAGCGTTGAATAAATATAAAGAACACAGCTCTATTTAGCATGCATATATATATTTGCACTAATGATCATTTTTAATTGTTTGGCCACAGTCCCTGATAGAGGGACTGTGGTTTGGTCAAATCACTGTGGTCAAATACAGGTTAAAATATCGAGGGTTCGAACGGATTTACCTTGAACGTTGACCGGATTGTGACCCAGTAATAAGTGACACAGTCAGTAACCCTGTACTTAAAAGATGCATGGTTACAAGCAAACTCAAGCTACACTATGAGTCTTGGCAATGTGCTTGAACTTTAATCGACGCCAGTCATGTATTTGCGGTCAAACAATCTCATACACATTCATGGCTGGATTTTCTACCCACGGTCACCTATTGTTACTGAATTGTTTGCATATTTTCTTTGTTACAATAATGTTATAAATTGGTTAAAGTAAAGAAAATGAATACATCTTCGTCTTTTATTGTTTTGCCCTCGAGGCGCTAAACTAGATCTTCGACACACCACGGCGGATGCGGGGCAAACTTGCCACATCGCACGTTTCAGAGTGTTCGACTTGAAACAATAAATGCTTAACTATATTAACTCGTCTATTCGTCCCTTTTGAATTATTAATGAACCGAGAAAGGTCGTTTGTTGAAATGACTACGCTGATTGGACAAGCTAGTCGCTTCAGTGCGGGTAGGTGTACGTACAATCATTAACTGTGTCATCGGTATACTAGTATATAGTGGGTGTGTTTCGCGTCTGTATTCTGTCCGAATTGAAGCAACAGTGGGATAAACTGCATTATTTCATTTTTGAAAGCAGTGTTGGTGAGCAGCAATCATGGGTGCGAGCGTCACACGCGATGAGTTTGAATGGGTTTACACTGAACAGCCACATGCAGTCAGACGGCGGGAGATGCTAGGTAAGATGAAGTAGACGTAGTCCCGCATTTGCTTTGTTCAAGTATTCAGAGAACATTGACAGTAATATTCTCACGATGCTTATATTAACCGTCGCTTTCAAGGTTTTACATTCGAGTGTTATAATTATCATCTATCGCTGTAATAATACGACGCTGTTTATGTATTTCCCGTTCCGGTTTGACGATGAAGAATCGTGTTCTCTTGTTACTAAGCATTTGTCGGGAGCTCGTTGCTCATCGGCCATGTTTGTGTAAAGATGATGGCGAAGAAGCGCGTCCATATAGAGACCAATCAACGTGTAAAAAAACGTAGATGTACGGCTGGATAATACACTCTGGTTCTCTATGGTTCTCTTATTTAAAACATTCGCTTGCTCAGTGTATTGTCTGTACACAATTGGCGAAAGACGGCAAACATATTTGCTCACCCCACTATTTGTAATCTAATGACCCACATGACAGTGATATCAGTTGTTAATTCAATGCACGTGGGCAGGCACGATTTCTTCACGGCCATCGTAATATCTTATGTAAATATATATATAGAATCGGTGAAATCCATATAAGGTCAAAAAAAGAAGATCTGTTTCTGGTCCAAATTTGTTTTTAAAAAACAATGCAGTGATGCGATTATTTTTTTTAACATCAAGAAAGTCGATCTACGCATGCGTCAGCAAGATATTGCGCCATCAACGACATGCTCATCTTTTTTTTTTACTTTGTTTCAAATCAATAAAAATTACTTCTGAGCAGGGTCTGATACATTATTGTGCACTAGTATGGTAGCTCTTATTTTTCCTGCATCTGTTCAGAATTTTTTTACTTTCATTTTTAATTATCCTGGAAGATAAACAATATTCAAATCCAAAGAAGACATACCCTCACTTCACTTGACGCTTGGAGGATTTTTGTAAAAACAACCAAATTGAGACATTTCACCTTGATTAGAAGAGATAAGGATGGATATCGATTTATTATAACTATCACCATATTATCCCGCACCACAATCAGTCATGGTCATTATGATTCCATATATTCTATTGTATAATGCGTTAAGGAACTTGAGATTAGGACAAGTGTCGAAATTCCAAATGTTGAAAATGGTGCACTGTTTTTCCAAAACTGTTTTATTTATTACAAAAAAATTTTTTAAGTTGCCTATAGCATGTGATGATGTCGGTAAAGCCAATCAGAAAACAAAAGAACAATAGAATATGGACATGCATATATTATGTAATTTCAATTGTTTTCTTTTTCATTTTTTGCAGCAAAATATCCTCAGATAAAGAAGTTAATGGGACATGATACTGCCATTGTCAAGTACGTGTTCCTCGTGGTTGCTCTTCAGATCTTTGCATGTTGGTTACTTCAATCTGCATCATGGGGAACAATAATCATCATTGCGTATGTCTTTGGAGGAACAATGAATAAATGCATGCAAGCAGCAATGCATGAAATCTCACACAATCTTGCTTTTGGTCACAGTCGGCCTATGTGGAACCGCCATCTTGGAATAATCAGTAACCTTCCTCTCGGGGTTCCGGCGTTCATATCTTTCAAGAAGTATCACACAGAACATCATCGGTATCTAGCGATGGACGAGCTAGATCCGGACATTCCATCTGAGTTGGAATGTAAACTTTTCCGCAACACTTTCACCAAAATTATCTTTGTACTCCTGCTGCCATTTACATATTCCCTTCGGCCGTTTATCCGAAGACCCCGGCCAATTTCAATATATGAGATCTACAATGCTGTTGCAGCCATCTCTTGTGATGCTTTGCTGTATTACATGTGGGGATTTAAACCAGTTGCGTACCTTGTCATCAGTACGATTCTTGGTGGTGGAATCCACCCACTTGGAGCGCATGCTATTGCTGAACATTATCTCTTCCAGAAGGGGTTCGAAACGTACTCCTATTACGGCCCTTTGAACATGTTAACTTTCAATCTGGGATATCACTGGGAACATCATGACTTTCCAAACATACCATATACTAGATTACCACAGGTAGGTACCTGATTCACAATATTTAAATGACCTCATTAATATGCACACATTCATTCCAAATAATTTCTTACTTTATTATTGTACATACTAGATCAATCAGTATTTTTATAAACTCTAAATACGGTAATTTCAGTTTAACTCTGTCTAATAAGACTTGTTCTCTTGAATGTAAAAAAAAAAAAAACATTTAATTTTCTTAAAGTTTCATTTGAAATGTTTGCAGAACAGGAATGTGTTTTGAATATAACTGGGGGTCAGCAAAGTTTGCTATTACCAGTCTTCTTCTTATTTTCTATACAAGTTTTACAACTTTACTGTTTGGCTTTTGAAAATTTGTCAACAATGCAAACAATGTTTAGGCTGAGGAGTCATCAATTGAAATGTTGGGTGCTCATTGTGATGTGAATAAACAGCCATTGATGTTTTATAGTCATTGTTGTGCATGACTGGGTTTGGCTTAAGTTCATGTCTGTCTGTCTGTCTGTCTGTCTGTCTGTCTGTCTGTCTGTCAATAATCGATCAAATATTCCAAAATGTTGCTGGTTTTGGTTCATATCTGTGAATATTATTTAATTAACTTCATAACTTGCATTGTTATGGGTAGTTTTGATGGATTCCAGTTATATAATGTTGAGGTATGAATCAAATAAATTTAAATTAAAAGTACATACATATTCAATGGCTGATTTTTAAAATTAAACTTTGCATACATGGTTAGGTTGTGTCTAGGGCCCCATTTTAAATTGAAATTAACCATCAGTTAATGAGAGTTTATATTTTCTACAACAGAAGTATTGGACAGTTGCACCTTGCAATCTTTCGAATGCCATTATTTTTCTCATCACAATTTTTGTGCAACATTCTGCAAATTTTTATGTATTTTGGACAAAATGGAAATAATTTTATATATACATGTAATTGTCTACAAGTCTTCATTCTAAAATAATATAAACATATCATATTTAACCTGGGAGATGGTACATTGGTAAGTGTGTTCACCTTTGCATCATAGAAATTCTGGGTTCAACTCACAATGCTGACTATTTACTCAACACTATAAATCGCACTGCAGTTTACTCTGCCTTCCAAACATGTGGCATTAGGTTGATTTTTGTAGTAAATTTAGGGGTTCCCCATCTAGGGGGTAGAGAGTTTGAGGAGGAGGTCAAAACAGCCTTAAAAATCTTATAATGTAAAAGAATTGGGAAAATCATAAATAATATGAGGTTATTATAAGGATACCGAAAAGTATGCACGAAGACAGTACAGCGGTAGTATCGGTTGACACGCAGTGGATGTCGATGTGACTGTGTACTGTCTGAGTGCATATCTTCGTAATCTTTTCCTCCCAGGAATACATCATGGGAATTCAGAAATACAAAAATTTCAGAACAGATTTAGCGAACTTCTTTGTATGGGGTCTGGTCAAACTCTGGGAGCTGCCATCTTTGTTTGAGGACGTTTACGTGCGTAATAGTTCCATATTTTTATTTAATTTTAATTTTATTTAATTACTTTGGAATTCGCATGGTAGGATGAAAACACCCAGTGCAATACCGCAAAATAACAGTATTGCACTAACTTATGGCGTTGCAGTGACAGATGTATAATAACAACATTTATGTGAATAAAATATTTGTGAAAAAACAAATTCATCTAGACCCAAGATTTTAAACAAGAAATTCCTCATATTTCAATGTCAACTTTGATGTGTACACATGACCTACGTTAGCTTTGTTCACATTGTAACCTTGGTAAACATTTTCAGTAACCATAGTGACCCGTTACTTTCAGACATGTGTTTTAAAATATAATTTCCAAGATGAGATTTATTAGCTTATTTGAATTATTAATTATATTTAGTAATAATCATAACGCAGGAATTAAAATTGTTATTTGTCCCTGACAACGACCTTTGACATAAATATGACTGCTAGTTGTACATTGCTACAGAATAACAATATCTAACTGGTTGAATAAGCAAAAGGAAAATGTATGTTTAAAAAGATGTGAACAGCGAGAGCAACCCTAAGACCAAAAAATAAAATATTCCTATTTTTAGTCATCAGTTGAAATTGTGTGCATTCCAGCTTCATTTCTGTTGTTGTCACAAATATAACTTAATATCAATGACATTTTAAAAATAAAATAGAAATGTGCACATGAATTGGTTTTTTAAAAATAAATTGACCAAAAATTGTTTGATTTTTGTTCTGATCCTAAGTTGCTACTGTAGATATAGCAAGTGTAAGTTCATGAATGTAACCTGAGCAGTGATAGGATAAACTAAAATTGTAACTTGAATTCTGTTATCACTAAAATCTGCTGAGTCATGCCACAATGATACTCCCTATGTGAGTCAGTATCACCATGAGAGATCACCATAATGAGTCACATAGCTACCAGTGTTTATTTTTCTGCCTTCATGGTCTAAACAAAATGGTTGTCAATTTGAAACTAGAGGGGGTAAGACAATGATGTGCAAATATTAAGCAAAATATGCAGTCAATTTCCTACAGCTCCCACACCACAATGTTACCCAAAATGCAACACTTCAAGTATATATACCGGTATATTATATTTAATGTCTTTTGACCACAGATAATGTACCTAAATATATTATTTCGTGTCAAATATAATATACTATACTATACTATGAATGTACTGATGGATGATTTTATTATAGGGGTGAACCATTTAGTATGATGGGGGGTTGTGGTTATAAAAAAAAAACAATTACTTCTGACCCCCTCAATTTAAATACTGTAAAATGACTAATTTTCACTGGGTTTAAATTTCACTGATTTACCAATTCAGGCATATTCAGTGGGTTTTAAATTCACGGTTTCGTCATTTAGATAATGTGTTCTATGCTAAATTTTACATATTCACTGTGTTTTAATTTAGCGCATTTTTCCAGTCAGCGAAATAAGCTAAATTAAAACCCAGTGAATAATTACCCCCTTTACAGTAGTTTTTTAAAAGCCTTGTAACCTAATGAAAGTCAAACATCATTGTGACAACATTTAAATTACTATATGCAGTCTGACAAAATGTCATCACGTAACCGTTTCACTGCTCAAATGACAGAGTCACTCAATAATTAACACTCATGTCCAGTTTCTGATTACTTGTCTGTATTGTAAATTTCTGTAATAAATGAGGTCAAGGGTCATGGTGATTTACAGATAAAAATACCCCTATGAAAAATTTGTAAGAATGAAGGCCCCACTGTAAATCAGAACATTTTTTTTCTCTCAGTATTTGTATTAAAACTATCATGCATATCTACAATAATTTCAACTTTGATTACGATATTTCTAGTTTACATATAAGAATAGAATTTCTGGTTTTAATTTGCAAGAAATTATATTTATTCAACCAAATTACCTTAAAAGTAACACAAAGATCTGTGTGTTTTGTAAAAATTATTTTTTAAATTTGTTACTGAGCTCTGCTAGCTTAATTCATGAAATAACATAAATGTAGTTTCTCTTCCTGTTCTCAGATCAAGACATCACGTCTTATGTTCATTGGTTTACTGAGTTAGTAACCATTGACAACAAAATTTGTACAGGAAGTTAGCAAACTCCTTAGGAAAGTCTCCACAACAACACAATGTAGCGAGGGACGTTTCTATTGGGGCTATCAAATGATCTAATGTTATGAAAACAAATTACTACATCTTGTAACAATCTTACTTCCCCTGGCGTAATGAAATAGATAAGTCCACCCACAGACTGGCGACAATTTTGTTCTAATTATCAGGGATATTGCAAGTTGTTGTGGCTATACAACGGACGTTATAAATTATCCATACAAATCGTATTTGCGGTCGCCTTATCCACCTGGGGAAGTTGATAGGGTTATTGGAACATTGACTATCCCAGGGAAGTTGTAAGTTACCCGTCTGAATCTTGTTTGCGCCCACTGTAAATTGAATAATTGGCTGAGATAAGCAGAGTGCAGTTAAGAAAGTTGATGATGAAAAACACTTTCATGAATCTCAGAATACAGGGAACATAGATTATGCTTTAACAAAGTAGGAAAGTCATATTATCAATTTTTTGGAACTAGTACTAACAACAATTTTATCTCTATTATGAACAGCAGACATATGTACTCACTATCATAGCTTAATTTAAACACAAACATCAATTTATTTAAATCATTTTTGTTCTTTTTCATTACTTTGATACTATTTTTTTTTTTCGTATGAACATTTTTGCCTTCTCTGGCAGATATGATTTAGTAAATATTATTTTGACATTCCTTTAGTTGATATTTAGACAATCCTGAATTTGTGAATACATAATATTTAACATGAGGCACTGTTAGTGAATGTACTTTACAATCAATTTAGATTCTTGCAGTACTTACATGGTATTTATATATATTGAGTGTTATCTCTTTAAATTGAATACCTGATGAAAAATTAACTGGTGGTTAAGCACTTTTGGAACAAATGTCTACCCGCTGCATTCCTGTTTGCAAGGAAATAGGGACATTTTTGTCCAGTATAACAGTTGAATCAGAATTATTGGTATACTGATATAGAAGCCCAGGGCTTAGAGTCCTTTAATTTTTCCTTCACTTCTTCTGCTATTTTTTTCTCATGAGCTAGCTAGTGCTGGGTGAAAACTTCTCAAACTTTGCTTGCATGCTGATAGGAGCTTTTGCAAACTGGTGCATCTGACTTTTATTGGTCACATGGTTCAGCAACAGTGTATTTAAACTTTGATGTGCTATATTTATCCTCATTCTTGGTTTCAGTGATCTACATCTTTTATTGCAGCATCTTGACATATGTACTTCCCATATCAATATTAGAAAACATTTTGCCTTATAAATAGTTTACTAAAAAATTGCATGAAATTTTTTAAAATATTTTTCTGAACCACGAACCACACTGATCTGAAATTTGGTTTGTAGTATGTATGTACATATTGCATTAAAATTTGAGAATTGTTTAACCATTTGTCACATTGTAAGACTTTTAATACTGTGGCCCATATGTGTCAGAACAACTTCAATTTCTCAGGACAAAACATTGATTACATAATAAGACAATAAATTAAACTCTCATGACAAAGCATTCAATTCACAGACAAAACATTAATTTTGTTTGGACAAAACATTTAATTTCTCTCCGACAAAACATTTAATTCATCAGACAAAAAATTAAAAATTTAAATTCTCATGACAAAGCATTCAATTTGCAGACAAAACATTACTTTTGTAGGACAAAACATTTAAATTCTCATGACAAAGAATTGAATTCGCAGACAAAACATTACATTTGTTAGGACGAAACATTTAATTCATCAGACAAAAAATTAAAAATTTAAATTTTCATGACAAAGCATTCAATTTGCAGACAAAACATTACTTTTGTAGGACAAAACATTTAAATTCTCATGACAAAGAATTGAATTCGCAGACAAAACATTACATTTGTTAGGACGAAACATTTAATTCATCCACAAAACCTTTTATTTTGCAGAACAAAACTTTAACATCATTCATGGAAGTAATATTGATTAACTTATTCATACTCTCAATATCTATGAACATACATATGGATGTGTCTTTGTAATCTGATTCTTAAGATGGCTAAATAGTGGCCACTTTAGTGCGGAAAATTTAACAAAATAAAACATTTCTGCCATTCAAGAACCCAATATAAGCTGTTCAAGGACAGATTTCAATCAAAATTGAGAAATTCTAAGAACATAATGCAACCTTAAAGTTGCATTCCCACTTTGTAAATATTTAAAATAATATATATGGATTACTATGAGAGATATTTGAAGTTACAAAAGTATGCGAATAACAAGAAAATGACCCTGGCCACCTAAATTATTAGCTGAAGACCAACGAACAAACATTGGCGTGCGGTCCATTCCAATCCAAATCTAACCAATAGGATGTAGGCAGTTCATCTCAAAACCCTGACTGTCGCTAATAAATATTCAGACAATTTACGTTCACCACTTTAATAAGTGCACATTTGGGGGTGAACTATCAGATGAATAATACTGCACATAAATAAAAATAAAAAATGTTTTATGCTGTCTGGCAAGTCAAATACGCTGTGTGAATAGTATTTAGAGTAGAAAACAGCGTACAAATCAGCGTACAATGTCGAACTAGAAATAGTGTTATAACATTCGATTGTGGAATGGTTATTGCCGAAAATGATCGGTACGGTTCGACAATGACCGGGAATATTCGATTATTCGCATTTTTGGCCAGATTTCTCGTTATAAGTGCACTTTCGTTCCTTCAAATATCACTTATAGTAATTCATATACAGCCTTTAAAATTTTTTGTAAAGTAGGAATGCAACTTTAATGCACATCATTTGGTTTTCCCCGATCGGCGACCATTAATGAATGCTTTTCTGACATGCCTTGACTGATCATATTCAAACTTCACATAATTTATCATAAATTGTATGTTAAACAATGTCAGTCATTTTAGCACAGGGAGCCCAGGAACTATAATCAACTGTATGCACTCCCTATGAGCTGGGGGGGGGGGTATCGTCTGGTATCTAGTGTAAGAAATAGACATTGGATTAAAACTCCAGCGAGCTAATAGTTTTTAAACTGGAAAAAACAGACAAACAGAATGAAAAATAAAGTCTATAAAAAATACCAGGTTGAAGAATATTAGTTGCTCTTTCAAATTTCGCCAAAGCCTCACCTACATTTTACCTATATCTGCAGTTCCTGAGCTCCCTGTGATTTTAGTGGAAATTTCAGACATGAAATCTTATCAGATACCTGAAAGATACCTGACATTTCATCTGTGACACGATTTGAGTGATTGCACATTATATATATGCATAACATGAACGTGGAGTGTTGGATATGATAATGGTGTTTCTTTGTAAAACGTAAACATTAAACACAGTGTTTTTTTATTTTTTTCAGCTGCAGAAAATAGCCCCGGAGTACTATGTAAATCAGCCAAAAGTCTCCTCCTGGCCGGGAACAATATGGAAATTCATATTCGATCCAGAGCTTGGTCCCTATGCACGGATAAAAAGACCTCGTGGAAATGTCAATCCTGATAAATATAGAGACGATTAGTTTAGAGCGTCATAAATGTACCAAAATAAAAAGTATTGTAATGATATACCAGCAACACATTGAGATGGTGAATCACTCAGTTAAAATTATCTATGTATGATAGTGTTTTCAAAATTTAATTCTGGTAAAAATATCTATGCGTTATATATTACAGTTATTGTCATGTTATTTGACAGTAACATCGGATGAAATAAATAGTATTTAATGTTGTAAATTGTACTAGATATTTGGATACAACATTTTCACCACTTTTCACCGCATCTACAACAAATATTAGGGGTGTGTTCTTATAAATTTAAGCAACACCCGCATCAATTTTTTAAAAAGACAATTGTATGGTAATTTCACACTGGTTTTTGCATAGGTCTGCATAATATGTCAAAACTTTGCATTGTTTTACGATGAACAAAATATATAATAATAATTTATTTCATAATAATATAAATTACTAATAATTAAAAAATAGATCAATTGTATTTGGTAATGTTCAACAAAACTGATTAAATTTGATTATTTTTATTTAACATATTTATAAATCACCTATTAACACGATTTTAGACTTACATGTATTGTGTATGACTTTTCATATGTACATTATGAGATGGAAGACACAATGATAAATTATAATTATTGCAATACAAGTGTGTAAGATTAATTATTATAGTTTGGAGCCATAGTTTTAATTTTGAATTAATTGAATTCTTGAGGATACATGTATAGTAATTACAAAGGGTATCCAAATAAATTCCCATGTTTGCCCCAGTTTTGACAGAATTCCCATGTTTGCCCCAGTTTTGACAGAATATTGAAATGAAATTGTTATCAGACAAGTACACAATCAACAATATCCAGCAACTGTGCTACAAAACTAGACTTTAAAATGCCAGATAGTAAAAAAAATAATTTAATTCATTTAAATCTACTTTCAAAACACAAGGTATTATTACTTTATGGTGGCAATTGTATTTTTTTTTTCATTAATGCAGATTGTGAAATGAGAAAATAAATAGTAATTAAATTTTAGTTCGATTAATTTAAATAGATTTACTGGTATAACGATTTGTATTTGTCACAGTTGATGTTCCATGTGAAGTTCAACTGTGAAAGGCACCATTGTATAATTTGTTTGGAGTACTGGCAACCGAATATAACACAGTCTCAGAACAACATGGCTGTCTTTGTTAACACCCTCCACTCTATACCTGTTTCTATGACTATGGCTTGACCTTTCTTACAATGCATATTGAAATATTGTTAGTATAATAAAAGCATAGGGCAGATTTTTAAAAATAATTGGCAATATTACACGGATTATCATCTTTAATATATTTATAGTATGTTGGATCCATATTTTGTTAGAAGATGATTTTACGCTTCATTCTGTATTTTTATGTGATTATATTTTATTAAATGTATGTGCTTTTTCTTGGTTTAAATAAAAACCAGTATTTTACATGATATATGTATTAAGAAATTTTGGAAATGAGTATAACTGTTTTTTGTCAAAACAAACTGCCCTACGCTTTCAGAATTCATTTTAATAAATGATACTATTGGATATTATATTCACTGTCATAATGTATATATTTGTTTACTATATAACAACTATTATTGTAATTGTAAATCGGGGTTATTTTGCATATTTGTTGATTGATCTGTAATATATGTTTTCTCATCAATTTTCATTTTTTGTGTCAGGCTGTCTTTTGGTGTTGAGAATTGAAATGATCAGTATTTCATGTGTTGCACACAAACCTGTTCTTTATTCTCCACTTCACGGTCACTGTACTCCAGTTAATGATTATGCACGATTTGTGCAAATGAAACCAGTGTACACACCCTTGATCTTTAAATAAAATTAATATAATAAAAAAAGTAGCTTATAATTCAGTAATACAACCTAAATATAATGTAATTAGTTGTTAATATCAACCATCGCTTTAAGATAAATACTAGTACTATGAGGAGTTATGGGTTATCAAGGAGCTGTTTGATTAACACAGTAATTGTAAATTTTGAATAATTCAATTTTGTATTTGAATGATTATTAGTGTAGAACACCAATGACATATGAATGCAGATGCATTATGGGTAGTATGATGTAATAATGCAGCCATGCACAGGTGAATAAATGTGTAACTCACATGAATCAATTTTATATTTGATTGTTATCACTAGTCCTTCACATGGTAGATTTAGAATTAAAGTATAGTCTGTCATCCATTATTTAAATATCTGACTACACAAAACATTTGTTTGTTTGTTTTCTGTTAAAAATTCAAAGCTTTACCATAGAGCCTGACTGAATGAAACCTTGACGAATTCCTTCATATTTAGCTGGGCAGCGATAATTAGATTCCAGCTATTCCCAACCCCAAAATATGATGGAGTTTCCATACTTGTTCCCATGACAACTAAATAATAATTGTTCTGCCTCTAAATATTATAAAATTCCAGCTTTTGATGGTTTAAAGCACGGTAGTTGTCGCGTTGCGCATGTTCGACATTTGTGTTGATAAACATTGATTTTCCCACAATCCAATGCACTTTTCAAATGGAAATCACAAGTATGAGGTTTGACCTGGGCGCGACTTGCACTGATTACCGCCGGTGACTCCTTCGATACTTTCCAATAACATGAAAAATACTTAATTAAAGCTTGGAAACGTGTCATCTTTGTTTATATGAGACCCATATATATCGCACATGCGCAGCGCGACGACTACCGCGCTTTAATGTTCATTAAGTTATATCATTTTTATGAAATTATTGTAAAAAACACTACATTATATTGTTGAATAGAGTGATTTATTATGAGGAAGCTTTCATTATTAATGCACAGTGCGAAAACATGTCTAATAGAGGAAATTCTTTGTTAAAAAATGTTTTTTAGTAGCTTCTTCAATTATACATAAATTGTAAATGTCAGCTGTGATCTGGTGGCCAGAACTCCAAATTACATTATTTAAGTTATTTGACAAAATATAATAATTACTGGAGATAATGAATAACAAACAAGTACGGTATTTGCTCACAGGTAAACTGACAGTTGTATGTATTGTCCAATGGATCATTAAGCTGTATCTTATTTTGACCCTTGACATGCCTCTGTTATTTTATAAAGTGCATGGGTCACTAATAGAGCAAATACGGTATATGAATTATACCTTTATTTTTTGTTGCCCAGTTTATTGAAGATTAATTAGTTGATTAATTAACAAAAATGAAGCAGAGCTTTGAGCTCATTTGATTTAAAATTTGGTGCAGAAAATGTTACTCGTTTAATGCATGTAATCCATGTTTATTAATTTGTTGTAACAGGATGCCTAGTTGGTGTAATACAATGCCTAGTTGGCGTATTACAATGCCTAGTTGACGTAATACGATGCCTAGTTGGCATAGTACAATGCCTAGTTGGCATACTGGAGCTCTACCTGTGCTTTTCTTTGATTGGTTTGGAATATGATGTATGCATTTTTTACTTACTTTTGGAAGCAAACAATGGGAGCCTTTGTGGTCACCCTGTCTGTGTGTGTGTGTGTGTATATGCATATATGAAACTTGGTATATACATTTGCTGGGACAATGCACAACCCTGATTAGTTTTTGGTTGATTTCAACAAAACTTGGTACACAAGTGATTGCGCTGAGGAAAACCAGGCTGCTAATCACAGATTCAATCAAATTTATTCTTTATTGTCTTCTGTTAATTTTATAAACATCTCAGAAAGTGCAGATTTATTTGGCGACAAGTGTCTTGTTTAAGAGACTAATCAGAAATCTGTAATTAATAGAAATATTTCATATTTGTATTTCATGACTCTAGTTTCAACAGCACAGGGAGTTTTTTTAATTGTTATATTATTGGGTTGATAGTATTGTAAATAGTTCAAACTGAAATAAAAATGGTGGTAGTCAACATGTGTTTATTTATAACTGACTTGGTGTAATACCTGTAGTGTGATATAAACGCAACTGGAATCATATGAGGTATAGTATAATATGTTGAGAATGTGTGCTTTTGACTCGGTGCCAAAGAAATAACCACGATTGGTCTGGAGACCTGCCTACTGAGAAAATAGTGCTCTGGGAGTTCTTGATCCGTGAGATTCAAGCAATGAATCACTATAGCAGAATTTATACAGAACAACTTATTTTTACCGTCTGACCAAATTATTGTGTATTTATTATAAATGAAATGCATTTCCACTGAAAATAACAGTTACGTATGGTGTTTGATCATGGGAATATGTCAAACAGCTGTAAAACTAAAGATTCGGTTTGAAAATATCTGCACTCTAAAAGTTACGGTCAACATGTTGACGCTCAATGACGTACATACCTTGTACAAACGACCGGGATCGTTACTATACGCGGGCACGTATTTGAGTCCCGTATGCACATACCATATATATTTGTGACGACACGCATTGGATTAACTTTTAATATAGTTGAATTAACTTTTAATATAGTTGTGATATGTTTGGATTAAAACGCATCTCTATATGGGGGCGCGATTTAATTGGAGTTTAATTAAACGAGATATATGGGTCTCATATAAACAAAGATGGCGACTTTGACCGTTGCTCAGATCAACGAGTACAAACTGAGACGTTATTACCAAGCTTTAATTAGGTATTTTCAGGTGATTGGAAGGTATCGAAGGAGTTACCGGTGGTAATTTGCGCAAGTCGCGCCCAGAGGTCAAACCACATACTTGTGATTTCTATTAGAAAGAACGCATTGGATTGTAGAAAAATCAATGTTTATCAATACAAATGAGGACCAACACCCTTTAAGCTACGCAAACTTGACATAAATTCGATTAAATAAAAATATATATTATGAAAAATAGTGAGGGTCGTCACTTGGTCGGTGGGTAGGTGTAACGTTACAACGCTGATAAGACACACACATACCATGCAGGTAGAGAACTTGAACAATATTGTAATAAAGACTCATAGATTGAAGGCATACACGAAATTAGGGACATTTACAATATAAACCCCATTACCATATCAAAAAAGTAATTCTTAGAGAAAACTAAGAAGCACTATACAGATTCATGGATTAGTGACATTAATAGAACAAATTCTAAGCTCAGAACATACAGCCTCCTTAAAAATGATATCAGTACGTCACCCTATCTGCATTTATTACATAAATTTATTTATTACAGACGACGTTAAAGTAATGTCACACTTGAGATTGAGCTGCCATAAACTTCAAATTGAAGTTG